TGTTATTAGCCCATGTAATCCTACCTCTCATCCTGAGGCATCTGTCGAAATATGTGAGGGTTTTCTACATTATTTCACTAACAAAATTGCTAGCATTAGGCAAAACTCCACTATCACTTCTTCTGACCCAGCTGACCTTCCCCTGCCTTCTGCTATTTTTGACCAATTTGAGACTGTTTCTTTGTCTGTGTTATCAGAAGTGGTTTTACAAATGAAAACATCTCACTGTTCACTTGATTTCCTGCCAACAAGATTATTCAGGGATGTTTTTGAGTCTATTGGTCCTAGCTTTCTGGCCCTAATTAATTTATGTTTGACTACAGGCTCAGTTCCAGATGCTTTTAAACAAGCAATTGTCCAGCCTCTTCTTAAAAAGCCAAATCTTGATCCTTCAGTGTTTTCCCACTTTAGACCAGTATCCAAATTATCTTTTATGTTGAAAAGTTTTAGAGAAAGTTCTTATTCAGCTCCAGTCTTTTCTGACAAATAATGGCATTGAGGAGCTATTCCAGTCTGGGTTTAAATCAAAACACAGTACTGAGTCTGCGCTATTAAAAATTAATAATGACATTTTGTTGGCCAGGGACTCTGGGGATCTAGTTCTGTTGGTGCTTTTAGATTTCTCTGCTACCTTTGATACAGTGGATCATGAAATCCTCATATCTTGCCTGGAACAGTATAGGAATTCGTGGTACTGTTCTTAATTGGTTTAGATCTTACCTCACAAATAGAAGTTTTTCTATTAATATTGGTAACTGTTCCTCCTCCTCAACTATCCTCTGTTGTGGTGTCCCCCAGTGGTCTGTACTTGGCCCAACTCTCTTTTCCCTGTACATGCTTTCGCTGGGATCACTTCTAAAAAGATATGGGTTCTCTTTGCATTTTTATGCGGATGACATCCAGATATACTTAACATTAAAAGACAATTTACCTGAAATAATTGAAGTGTGGCTTCTAACTAGCTCAGTTAGCATTTATGTTTTATTGTGTTCTTTCATGTTCTGGACGCTGATCATTCGAGGATCCTGGTTATATGATGTTTTAATTAAATCTTGATTGATTTAGTTTCTGT